TCATCATCATCATCATCATCATCATCATCATCATCATCATCATCATCAGAGTTTTCATGCTCGGCGCTCGCGAGTCTGCCCTGCCGCCTCGTCCCCCCTCCCTGTCCCCCCGCCAGCATGAACCCCAGCGCCCCCAGCTACCCGATGGCCTCGCTCTACGTGGGGGACCTGCACCCCGATGTAACCAAAGCCATGCTCTACGAGAAGTTCAGCCCCGCCGGGCCCATCCTCTCCATCCGCGTCTGCAGGGACATGATCACCCGGCGCTCCCTCGGCTACGCCTATGTCAACTTCCAGCAGCCCGCCGATGCTGAACGAGCTTTAGATACAATGAATTTTGCAAAGGGTTAGCAGCACCAAGCAAGGGAATGTTGTGTGCTCTTCACCAATGTCGGTGATGACGACGCTAGTGCGGACTACTCTGTTTGAGAACAAGAATTTCTAGCGATAGCCATGCGGTATGCACGGAGAAAAACTAGCTTCCCGATTTCTTTAGCATTGCCCATGTTTGACAATTCATGGAAAGAGGTTATCCATTCCCAAGTAGGTTGGGGACTTTTGACATGGGCTCTACTGCGAAGTATCTGTCAAGTTTAACAGCCCCACATCATCGCAGAGCATACATGCTTGCACGCTTTCATGTTCTGCCATCAGAAGTGCTTTTAGGGAGGCACCGCCAGATACCATATGCAGACAGACTTTGTCCTTGCTCTCTAAAAGATGTAGAATCCACTACACAACATACTTCATTGCCCGCTCTATAGGGATATCCAATCTCGTTTTATTACTCCACTTCTAGAAGGTAATGGAGCTGCGGTGGCTCAAGTGGTTAAGACACTGAACTGCAGGCTGTGGAAGGTCAGTAGTTCAGCAGTTCGAGACCCGGGTGCCGCATGATGGAGTGAGCTCCCGTCTCTAGCTCCAGCTCCTGCCAACCTAGCAGTTCGAAAGCAAGAAATCGCAAGTAGATAAATAGGTACCACTTCAGTGGGAAGGCAACAGCTTTTCGTGTGCCTCAGCGTCTAGTCATGCCAGCCACATGACCACGGAGACGTCTTCGGACAGCGCTGGCTCTTCAGCTTTGAAACGGAGATGAGCACCGCAACCCTAGAGTCGGATTTGACTGGCTTTCGAGCAAGGGAACCTTTACCTTAGAAGGTAAGAGCTGGCATTCTGATGACTCAATTGTTCACTTTCTTCTGTTCCATTCTAATTGTGAAATAATGGAGGCTGTTGCAAAAATTTTATATTATGCAATCAGAAGACGAGGCTTGAATAGCCAAGTGTGACTGATGCATCTTAGTATTTTCCCGTAGTTCCATGATGTTTTGTGCTTTCATGCCAATAAAGGCTTTGTGTGTGTGTGTGTGTGTAGGTTATCAATTCAGGACACTCGAACAAGCTAGAGCCCAGGCAGAGCATGTAGCCAGGGAGGAGTTATTGAAATATAAAAATAGAAAATCTACAGGAAGAATTACATGTGGCTTTCGACATTCTAGCATTTCTAACCAAATTAGAAGATCAATCTTTAGACACTGGCATACAGTTTCTCATATACCAGGCTGTCAGTTGCCATCATATACAGTTTTACGCAGAGGAAAAAACCTGAGAAATGCTTTAGTTTGATCTGATTTCTTTAAGGGCAGCACAGCTGCAACTAATCCAAAAGGGTTTCTAAAGTGTAGACACTGCAAGGCTTGTCAGCATATGGTAGAAGGCACTAGCTATACTGATAAAGACACAGGGATTATGTTTAAATTTAATTTTACTGCAACCTGTTCTACAAAAAATGCAGTTTATCTTTCTGTTTGTCAATGTGGGCTAAAACATGTTGGGATGACGACTAGGGCAATTAGGACTCGGGTGCTGGAGCATCGGTCAAGAGTGAATAATGCTGTTGAAAATTCACCAGTGGTTGGGCATTACATACAGGCAGGCCACAATATGAAAGAGATGACGTTTATAATTCTATACTGCCATCCAAATAAGCCTTTTCAAATGCTGAACAGATATATTACAAAAGGAAACTAGATTCATTTATGAATTAAAAACATATCATCCTTTTCGTATGAATCAAAGCATGGATTTTACATCCTATATTAATTCGCAATAAGTTTTCAAATTACTGGAGCTGTGCAATTGCAACCTGATATTCTTCTCTAAATATATTTACTTTAGCAGCTAGGTTCTAATTGCGTTCAGTCCGCCTTGGTGTTTAGTCATGCTGGCCACATGACCACGGAAATGTCTTCGGACAGCGCTGGCTCTTCGGCTTTGAAACAGAGATGAGTCAGATTCGACTGGCTTTCGAGCAAGGGAACCTTTACCTTTTCTAATTGCTAGACCTGTACGATGGCAGCCTGTCTTCCTTTTTCCTGATTTAATTAGAGTAGTAAGACCTTTAACTACTTGACCTGTGTTGCTGCAGCCTGACAATAGATATAAATTATGGTGCAACACATGGTAGGATAAGGACCCATGATCCTTTATGACTGAATATACTCGCTTTTGTATGTGCTTCTACTGAGATTGGGGTGAGTCTTCCTGCTGTTTTATATTATGTTTCTATGCAATTTATACATATTGTATGATTGTTTATCCTCATTTGTGTATGTCTTGAATTTGTATTTAGTCCCACTATAGCCTATTGGTTTTGAAAAAGAATTATTCGAAACGCGGCAGCTTGCATCTGGACTACACGTCTCTATGGCTTATGGAATTCAAGAATGTTTGGATTTTCCAGGAACTATATGAGCCCACTCCATGATGAATGCATGTCAAGTTGGAATATGATATTACAATACAACTGGAGTGAGACACACTGAAATTTTTGGGACTTTCTCTTTCTACCTTTCTGTATATTTGTTGTTTCTTGCAAGAATTCTTGGCTGAAGCAGTCAAAGACAAACACAAACTTTTTGTATGATCAGCCTTATTTTGTTGTCTCTGTAATGCCTTCTTGCTCATAATTCATCACATCGTGTATTTTACTGATATGCCATTTAAGGTATTTGGTTTTATTCGAACCATATGAACTAAATTTGTTATTCCTGTTTGGTCCTTTAATCTGATAAACATCTTCATTGTGCTGTATGCTAATTTAGTGCTCTCAACTTCTGCCAAAATGTTTGAACTGGTCATTCCCATTTCATTGTATCTGAAGAAGTGTGCATGCACACGACAGCTTATACCTTGAAAAAACCCTGTTGGCCTTAAGGTGCCACTGGACAAACTTTGTTCTGTGTAAAGTAGTATTTCCTTTTGTCCGTCTTGAACCTACTGCCTATCAGCTTCACTGGATGCCCTCGTGTTCTAGTACCTGTGTCATCTCTCTCCACCCCTTGCATAATTTTATAAACCTCTCTCACGGTCTCCTCCCCCCTCCAGTAGCCATCTATTCTGTAAACTGAAAAGTCCCCTGACACCTTCCTCAGAGGGGGCTCCAACCCCCTCATCATCTTGGTTGCACTCCTCTGCACTTTTCCTTTACTTTTTTCAGCTCTGCAAGCTGGATAAACACAAGGGCGGGGACGGGGGAAGACAGGGGAAGAAACTTTTCGGGGAGGGGGTAGGGTGAGGGAGAGAAACAAAGTCACTTGCCTGCGACCAAGCAGGAACCAAGAACCTTTCTGAAGTTTATTACACAAGGCAGGACTTTCCGAGTCCTTCTCAGCAAGAACACCATCTTCTTCCTAAAGGCAAGAAAGGGAATCAGAGGGATTGAGACATGAATTTTAAACTTGCATTCAATTCCTACTGGTTTCAAATGCAGAGTATTGTAACCAGGGAATTCTGGGCAAACTCCTCCTTACTATTCCAAGCCGCATCTCCTACACCACCCGCAAAGCTCGCAGCACGACGGGAACTGAACAGAGCCGCCCCAGCCAGAGGGTGGGCGAGCGCCATCTAGTGCCAGCTCAAGATCGGTACATGATAGCGTGTCAATTCAGCCATTTAGTAGGTTACTCTATGATCTGCCTCAAGTGTGCAAATGATGACTGTAGTGTTCCCTCTAAACTGCAGGGGTAATTTAATAGAAAAAGAGGTGCAGGAACTAATTAGCATAACTCATTAGCATAACTTATTTGCATATGCCACACCCCCTGACATTACTGGAAGTGTGTCAGAAGGCAACACCCACCGCTCAGGCTCCACTGGACTGTTTTGGATTGCTAGCTATTGGGTAGGGGGGAACGTGCAGATCTGTCCTCGCAGAGGAGGGAGAGCTTGTACCTGAATAAAAATTGGTCTTACAGGTGCCACTGGACGGTTTTGGACCGGGGGTCTGGGGGAGCTCTGCAACTTACCTGGCTGCTTCTTGCTCTGACTGAGGGCTGCTGGGAGCAGGGGGTGGGGCTTGTTGCATGTGCCCGCCCCCTGGGCTCTTTACTGCCGGAGCTCCGCTCCTGTGCGCTCCTGCAGGAAATGACCCCTGCTAAGCTGAGTTAGTGTGAGCTAGCTCACAGTTTCTTAGCCTCTGGCTCACACATTGTTGTCTTCGCTCAGGAAGGATGGCTCCAGAGCAAGCTAATTTATGCAGTAGCCCAATTGCTCGCTCACAAATTTAATGCCAGTGGCTCACAGAGTAGGATTTTTGCTCACGAGACTCCAGTTTAGAGGGAACATTGGCTTACAATCCTATACACAACAAAGCCTCATTAAATGCAATAAGATGCAAGCCTAGAGTCAGATCGAGGCGGAGGAGTTGTGTCCGGGTTGGATTACGCTCGAAACTCTTTTGAGAGTTCGCCCCATATAATGCAATCGCCCTCCCCATTAACATTATTTAAGATTGTCAGGTGCTAGCGATGCAAATATTTATTCAGAAGACCCAGCAAATCTGTGGAATTTCCTTCCAAAGTGTAAAACGTGCACAGGGGCAGGTTTCAAACGCGCAACCCGGTTCCAGGCACAGTGAAGCTGCAAAGCTTATGATGGGCATCCACCCCCTTGTATTTTTATCCGTCATTCCTTCCAAATGAGTCAATTGGCTCAAAGTCAACCAGTCAGCTTGTCGGCTGAGGGGGGGGGCACACCCACTTGAACAGATTAGTACTGATTTCCGCGCATACATAAACAGGATTAGGTTCCTAAATTAACATAACATTCATTCAATAAAAAACAACCACCACCCAAAACAAAAAACAACAACCCTTGATCTTCCTGGAATTGAATGCAGGCAGATGGGGCTTTGGGGAACATGTTAGCAAGGCTTCACTTCTAAAAACATAAGCAGTTTAATTAGATGGTCCCTTCCCCCTCCCGCGCTACCATTCATGAATAACCTTGTTGAGTAAGTCTAACGGGAAAATCCAGGAATTCTTCAATGGATCATTCCTGTTCAGGTCTCTTATGAAATATTCCCTATGCAAAGGAAATAATAACATTTGTATAGGACTTTCAGTGTTTGAAATGCTTCACATACATCACTTCAGCACAACAGCCCTGCAAGGGAGGCCAGTACTATTACCTACATAGTGCAGATGGGAGGTTGAGAGAAGTGGCTTCACCAAGGCCACTGAGTGAATTCATGGCAGAAGTGACATTTGAATTGGAGACTTCCAGGATCATGGCTTTTAGTCTCTCATCCACTACACTATGGCCTCTAAAAAAATTAATAATTTTAGAATACTATGTTCCTTTATGATTAAGCCACATGCAAAATTATTTCCCCTAATTTTTGTTTTGCTTAAATAGCAAAGGGCTTTCTGCACCTCAGCTGTAAAATTAATAAAATATACTCTTTGAAGTCTTTTGGATTTTAATAGGTGAGAAACGTAAACTCATATCTCCCCATGATACCAATGCGGATAAAACACTTCACACTCACTTGAAATCGAGTAAGCCTATTTTGTGGCATTTACTTCCAAGTAAACAGGTTCACAGTAAACAGATACCAATAAAGCTATTCCAAGCCACGGAGTTAATCAAAATCTTAACAAGATTGTGCCAAGAAATATGGAAAATAAAACAATGGCCCACAGACTGGAAATGTTCAATTTACATTCCAGTTCTGAAAAAATGAGACGTCAAAGACTGCAGCAACTATCGGACCATTGCATCAATATTTCACACAACTAAAGTGATGCTCAAAAATGTTACAACAAAGACTGCTACCATATATGGAATGAGAAATGCCAGATGTCCAAGCTGGATTCAGAAAAGGAACAGGTGCTAGAGATCACATTACAAATTTACATTGGTTACTGAAGCATACAGAGAATTTCAGAAGAAAATCAGCTTGTGTTTCATAGATTACAGCAAAGCTTTTGACTGTGTGGAACACGTAAAGCTGAGGTTAGTTGTACAAGAAATGGGGGCGCCACAGCATCTGATTGCTTTGATACGCAACCTGTAGTCTGGACAAGAGGACACTGTTAGGACAGAATATGGAAAAACAGGATGGTTTCCAACTGGCAAAACTGTCAGACAAGGATGTATTTTATCTCCTTGTCTCTTCACGCAGAACACATAGTCAAGAAAGATGGATTAGATTTAGATGAAGGTGGAGTGAAAATTGGTGGAAGGAACACTAACAATTTGAGATATAGAAGAGACAGAATGGATTTATGCAGTAGCCCAATTGCTCGCTCACAACTTTAATGCCAGCAGCTCACAAAGTAGCATTTTTGCTCACAAGACTCCACATCTTAGAGGGAGTGTTGGTAGGGATGTGTTGTTGGTGACCAAGAGCCAGTTTGGTGTAGTGGTTAAGTGTGCGGACTCTAATCTGGGAGAACCGGGTTTGATTCCCCACTCCTCCACTTGCACCTGCTGATGTGACCTTGGGTCAGTCACAAGCTCTGGCACAGCTGTTCCTGAAAGAGTTTGTCTCAGAGTTCTCTCAGCCCCACCTACCTCACAAGGTGTCTGTTGTGGGGAGGGGAAGGGAAGGGAAAGGAGATTGTAAGACGCTCTGAGACTCCAAGTGAAGGGCGGGGTATAAATCCAATCTCTTCTTCTTCTTCTTAATTCCTGCTTCCTATTACTATGTATGGGTGTAAAAGCTGGAGAATCAAGAAAACTGGAAGGAAGAAAGTTGATTAATTTGAAACTTCGAAGAAGAGTTTTACAGATACTGAGGACTGCCAAAAAGACAACTAAGTGGGCTCTAGATCAAATCAAACCTGAACTCTCCCTAGAAGCTAAATTGACTATCATACTTTGGTCATATTATGAGAAGGCGAAGACTCACGGGAAAAGGCAATAATGCTACGAAACAGCGAGAGCAGCAAGAAAAGAGGAAGCTCCAAACATGCGACGGCCTGACTCTGTCAAGGAAATCCACGGCCCTCAGTTTGCAAGACCTGAGCAAGTAGGGTTGTCAGCCTCCTGGTGGGGCCTGGGGATCTCCCGCTTTTACAACTGATCTCCAGCTGACAGAGTTCAGCTCCCCTGGAGAAAATGGCTGCTTTGAAAGGTGGACTGTATGGCATTGTACTATGCTGAGGCCCCTCCCCTCCCCAAACCCCGCCCTCTCCTGGCTCCACCCCCAAAGTCTCCGGGTATTTTCCAACCCAGACCTGGCAACCCTATGAGCAAGGCTGTTAAGGACAGGACATTCTGGAGGCCATTCATTCACAGGGTCGTCATACATTGCATCTGACGAAGAGAGCTGTGTTTCTCCAAAGCTTATGCTACAATAAAGTTTGTTAGTCTTAAAGGTGCTACTGGTAGGGTTGCCAGGTCTGGGTTGGAAAACACCTGGAGACTTCGGGGGTGGATCCGAGAGAGGGCGGGATTTGGGGAGGGGCCTGAGCATGGTACAGTGCCATAGATTCCACCCTCCAAAGCAGCCATTTTCTCCAGGGGACCTGATCTCTTTAGTCTAGAGATGAGCTGTAATTCCAGGGGGTCCTCAGGTCCCGCCTGGAGGCTGGCATCCCTACTAGGGTTGCCAGGTGTGGGTGGGAAAATACCTGGAGACTTTGGGGGTGGAGCCAGGAGAGGGCGGGGTTTGGGGAGGGGAGGGGCCTCCGCATGGTGCAATGCCACAGAGTCCACCCTCCAAAGGGATCTACTAAAAGGAAGGACAGGATAGAGACCCTAATGGAAAATCCGTTCCGCATTTTTATTGCAACTCTAATTGTGCTGTAATGTATTTCAATGGGGCCCATGCAAGTCAATTGGCATTCTTGGCTCCCATTATATCCAGTGGGCATTCCAGCATCTCCCAGTTGTCCTCAGTGAACAACATCATTTGTTTTTCTACATCTCTCCTTATTATATCAGTTTGGCTGGGATTCTCTACTTTGACACTGGCTGTTAGGCTTGGCACGGTGCCCCGTGGCTCTGCATTGGTTCTTAATTTGCTTTGAAAGGCTTTTAGCTATGGGTTGCCTTGCTTGCTCTTGTGTTTCTGGCTATCCTTTGCTCTGGAGAAAGCATGGAAACACCCCCCCAAAAACATAACAAGCAATGGAAGGCTGGGGACACCTTGTTCAGGGGCCCATAGAACTGAACCTTTTGGTCCAATTCACTTGAAATTTGGGGGTTAAAGGACAGGCATCAGCAGCTCCGTTGCAATTTCGGTGCAATTTGGTCAAAAACAGCCCCTCTGTCCGTCCAGAAGGATTCCCCATAAGGAATATTAGAATCTCAATAAGAAAAAACAGATCCGAATATCAAACCACTATTTAACCCCCTGAATGGGGGGGGTTTGGCTCCCGAAAGGCCTCCTGGGTGCTGCCCGGCCCCCCCCCCGGCCACGGGCGGGGGATGTAGTGGGGGGGGGGTTAGGGTTGCCAGATCCAGGTCGGGAAATTCCTGGAGATTAGGGGGCGGAGCCTGGGGAGGACAGGGACCCCAGTGGGGCACCGTGCCAGAGAGTCCGCTGATCTCTGTAGTCGGGAGATGAGCTGTAATTCCAGTAGGGTTGCCAGCTCAGGGGTGGGAAATACCTGAGGATGGGGTGGTGGTGTTGAGGAGGGGGTAGGATTTCAGCAGGGTATAATGGCATAGAGCAGGGGTGTCGAACTCATTTGTTATGAAAGCCGGATCTGATGTAAATGAGACCTTGCTGGGCCGGGCCATCTGCGTTATAAAATGTAATGCCAGGTAGCGGAGATAGAAACTTTATAAAGGACACAAACACAAAGGTGTTGGGTTTTTTTTTACTTAACATAAAAACGTGCTTACAACATTAGCACTCTTGCAATATTTTGTTTATTTAACAGTGTCTGATAACTGACACCTCTTGCTCTGAATTATTGCATCAAAATGTCTGTGCTGTTGCAATCCTGAGTATGCTGTTCGGGTGTGTATCTGTAAGCTGCAAACCTACGATGACACAGCAGCAGCAGAACTGGAATAAGAAGCAGAAGACAGCCAGTTCCACTGGGGGCCTGATAGAAGTCCTCCAGGGGCCTCATCCGGCCCATGGGACGCATATTTGACACCCTTGCCATAGAGCCTCCCCTCCAAAGCAGCCCCCCTGATTTCTGTCACCTGGAGTTCAGGTCTAATTCCCGGAGAGCTCCAGACCCCACGTGGAGGCTGGCAACCCTAAATTCCAGGGGATCCCCAGGTCCCACCTGGAAGCTGGCCTCGGTGTCTTGATAGAGCTTCAGTTTATTTCATCTCAGTTGTCACTCACTGCCGAAGGATTCACGCACGCTCTTTCTCCTTTAGTCCATTGTACCCGCAGGAACTTACCCTGTTTTCCAGCCTTTGCCCTGATCAAGCAGGTCTCCCGTTTAGCTTCTTGAGGGGCATGCATTGCTGATATTTTGTTAGGGTCTGCTGCGAACAGATTTCATTTTTTGCCTCCCGCCCCACTCCCCGTAGTCTGTAGCAGTTAGAGCTCGAGGATGTGTTCTCTGGAGGACACACGTGTCAAATTGCACAGTGTTCATCCTTGCGCACACGAATAGCAAGTCGCCTTGCAAAAACAGCCTGCCGTCCCAGACATCTGTTGAAGTTGGTTTTGCAGTCTGGATAACGATGATTAGGAAATTGTACCCCCCCATCTCTTAAAGCAGTGTTGCCAACTCCGGGTTGGGAAATACCTGGAGATTTTGGTGGTGGAGGGACTTCAGTGGGGTATAATACCATAGAGTCCACCTTCCACAGTGGCCATTTTCTCCAGGTGAACTGATCTCTGTTGCCTGGAGCTGTTATAATCCCGGGAAATCTCCAGCCACCACCTGGGAGGCAGGCAACCCTATGTATACAGCAGATCACATAAGTAGAGCCTTTGAAGCAATTTGTAATGGGTAGGGTCCAGCGCTCAGGCATTGCTGCAGACTATCTGCTGAATTAATTTACATGGGCTTCTGCCATCCTGATTTTTCTATTTACTTATCCCTGGTAAATATCATTGACCCTATTTCTACCTTTCTGTAGCTGCCTTATTATAAG